AAGCATCCTACCCCTTTTTCTTTCTCACTCTCTCTCTTGAAGGCTAGTGACTTTTATATATGCTCTTTTGATGCTATTCCACAGATGTCATGAGCATCCTTCAATTTCATTCTTGTCTGTTACTCTACTCTCACTGTGTGTCTTAGTCTGTTTTGTGTTGCTGTAAAGAAATATCTGAGGCTGAGTAAATTATAAAGAAAAGAGGTTTATTTGGTTCATAATTCTGATGACTGAAAAGTTCAAGATTTGGCACCTGGTGAGGGCCTCTGGCTGCTTCCACGCATGACAGAAAGTGAAATGGAGCTGCCATGTGTAGATTTAACATGGTAAGACAGGAAACAAGAGAGAGATGGGCAAGATGCCAGGCTTTTTTTAATAACCAACTCTTGAAGGAACTGTAATAGGGAAGGTATTAATCTATTCATAAAGGATCCTCTACAAGATATAAATACTTCTTATTAGGCCCCATCTCCATCAGACATCAAATTTCAACATGAGTTATGAAGGTGACAAATATTCAAACTGTACCACTGAATACTTTCAAATAGCCTGTCTTTGAGCTCACTGTTTGTTCTGATGGATCTGTTCTACTGTTAAGACCCTCTAATGCATTATTTTAAATTAAGTTTTTATTCTAGACCTACAGGGTACATATACAGGTTTGTTACATGGTTATATTGTGTGATGCTGAGGTTTGGGCTTCTATTTATTCCATTATCCAGATAGTGAACATAGCACACAATAAGAATTTTTTCAACCCTTGCTCCCTTCCCTTCCTCCCTCCTTCTGGAGTCCCTAATGTCTGTTGTTACCAACTTTCTGCCCATGTGTACTTAAGATTTACCTGTTACTTATAAGTGAGAACTTGTGATATTTGGTTTTCCATTTCAGTGCTAATTTGTATAAGATAATAGCCTCCAACTGCATCCATGTTGCTACAAAGGACTTGATTTCATTCTTTTTTATGGATGCATAGTATTTTATGGTGTATATTTGTGACATTTTCTTGATCCAATCCACTGTTAATGGGCACCTAGATTGATTTCGTGTCTTTGCTACTATGAATAGTGCTGCAGTGAACATATGAATGTAGATACCTTTTTGGAATAATGATTAATTTTTCTTTGGGTACATACCCTGTAATAAGATTGCTGGGGCAAATGGTAGTTCTATTTTTAGTTCTTTGAGACATCTCTAAACTGCTTTCCACAGTGACTGAACTAATTTACATTCTCACCAACAGTGTATAAGTATGCCCTTTTCTCTACAGCATCACCAGCGTATGTTTTTATTTTGCTTTTTAGTAGCAGTAACAGCCATTCTAATTAATGTGAAACCAATTCATTGTGGTTTTGATTTCCTTTCTCTGATAATTAGTGATATGAGCATTTTTTCATATGTTTATTGGCCTCTTATATGTCTTCTTTTGAGAAGTGTCTGTTCATCTCCTTTGCCCACTTTTTAATGGAATTATTTATTTATTTATTTGTTTGTTTGTTTGCTTGCTGAATTCTTTAATTTGCTTATAGATTTTGGATACTGGACCTTTGTTGGATGCATAGTTTAGTTATCTCCTCCCACTGCTTATTTTTGTCAGTTTTGTTGAAGATCAGATGGTTGTAGATACGTGGCTTTATTTCTCGATTTTCTATTCTGTCCTGTCATTCAGATAAATAAACCAAAAGAACAAAATATAGAAGAAATCGCTGGGTGTGGTGGTGCATGCCTGAAACTCCAGCACTTTGGGAGGCCGAGGCAGGTGGATCACTTGAGGTCAGTGGTTTGAGACCACCCTGGCCAACATGGTGAAACCCTGTCTCTACTAAAAAAATAAAAATACAAAAAGAATTAGCTAGGAATGACAGCATATGCCTGTAATCCCAGCTATCTGAGAGCTGAGGTAGAAGAATCACTTGAACCCTGGAGGCAGAGGTTGCAGTGAACCAAGATCGCACCATTGCACTCCAGCCTGGGCAACAGGGTGAGATTTCATCTCATAAAATAAAATAAAAAGAAATTAATTAAGAAATTAACCTTATTAAATGTGGACACTTCATACATGATAGAAGTAGCAAACCAGTAAGGAAGAGTCTTGGAAAAATGGTTATTCACATGGGGAAAAATAGATCATCAACTGGCATCTTTAAAAAGATCCAGACAATTTAAAAATGGGAAATGTGAATATCTAAAACTTTTAGGGAGGATAAGGTAGAGCCAGATGGTGGAATAGAACCTTCAAGGACTCATACCCTTGAAATAACATCAAATTGAACAACTATCCACACAAGAAAATGCCTTCACAAGAGCTAAGTAATTAGGTAAGAGATCAGAGTACCTAATTTTACCATAAAAACAGAAAAGACACATTGAAAAAAGTAGAAAGAACAGTCTCACACTGCCTACACTAGCCCTACCCCAACCCCAGGCAGCACAGAGCCCAGGGAAAGATTCTGTCCACTTGAGAGAGAGAGAGAGGAAAGTGTGTGAGACTTTGCATTTAGTACTGGCCCTGCCACAATAAAAGACAACACTAGGCATAACACCATGGCCCCTGATTCCAGGCTGGTGACCACGAAGAGAGTATTTAGACTCACTATGGACCAGAAAGGAATCTGTCATCCCAGTGGGAGAAACTCAAGTCCTGACCCAATTCACCCTTGGCTGACTGAAGTGGGCTCAGGTCCCGAATAAAATTCTGTTGTAGGCAGGCCATAGTACAACAGTCCTTGGGTGATGTCAATGCTGTGCTGATCTGTGAGGCTGGGGGCTTTGGGTGTGGCCCTGCATGATATCAACTGCAGCAGCTATGCAGAGCCCATGTCACTCTTTTCCCAGCTCCAGGCAGTGCAGTGTGAAGGGAGACTCCTTCCACTTAGAAGGAGAGGAAAGGATGCAGGGGACTTTGCCTTGGAACCTAGTACTAGCTCTGCCACTGTAAACTAGAGTACCAGAAGAGCCTTGTGGACCCTGATTCCAGGCAGATACTCCTGAACAGTATTTTTAGACCCAATCTAGGCCAGAAGGGAATCACTTGCCTTGGTAGGATGGATCAAAGTCCTGGCCAGCATCATTACTGGCTAACTAAAGTGGCCTCAGGCAATGAATAAATATCAATGGCAGGTAGGCAGTGGTGGCTGCAGGCCTTGGGCAAGCCCCAGTGCTGCAAAGGTCTAGAAGCCACGGGTAGTGTGGTACCAGCTCTAGGATGTGACAAAAAAGGTATTAAGAGGAAAGTTTATAGCACTGAATGCCTACATTAAGAAGTTAGAAAGATCTCAAATTAGCAATCTAGCATTGCATCCAATTGAACTATAAAAACAAGAACAAACTAATCCCAAAGCTAGTAGAAGAAAAGAAATAACTAAAATCAGAGCAGAACTGAAGAAAATTGAGAGATTGAGACCCAAACATCTACACAAAGGATCAATGAAACCAAAAGTTGGTTTTTTGAAAGGACAAACAAGATCAATAGACCACTAGCTAGATTAACAAAAAAAATAGGAAGATCCAAGTAAGTACAATCAGAAATAACAAAAGTGATGTTATAAGCTACCCTACAGAAATACAAAAGATCCTCAAAGACTATTATGAACACTTCTATTTACACAAAATAGAAAATCTAGAGGAAATGGTTGAATTTCTAGAAACAAACAACCTCCCAAGATTCAATCAGGAAGAAACTGAAACCTGAAAAGGTCAACAACACGTTCCAAAATTGAGTCTGTAACAAATAACCTACTAACCAGAAGAAGCCCTGGACCAGAAAGATTCACAGTCAAATTCTACCAGATGTACAAAGAAGAGCTAATACCAATCTTAATGAAATTATTCAAATAAAAAATCAAGTAGGGATTACTCCCAAAGTCATTATATAAAATCAGTATAATATGATAATGACAAAAGAAAACTACAGACCAATATCTTTGATGAACATAGATGCAAAAATCCTCAACAAAATACTAGCAAACTAAATCCAGCAGGACATCAAACAACATGAATTCACCATGATCAAGAAGCCTTGATTCCTGGGATGCAAAGTTGGTTCAACATATGCAAATCAATGAATGTGATTCACCACATAAACAGAATTAAAAACCATATGATTGGCTGGGCACAGTGGCTCACACCTGCAATTCCAAGACTTTGGGAGGCAGAGTTGAGTGGATCGCTGGAGCCTAGGAGTTCAAGACTACCCTGGCCAACGTGGGGAAACCCCATCTCTACTAAAACTACAATAATTAGCCAGCTGTGGTGGCATGCACCTGTAGTTCCACATACTCAGGAGGCTGAGGCATGAGAATCACTTGAATCTGGAAAGCAGAGGTTGCAGTGAACCCAGATTGTACCACTGCACACCATCCTGGGCAACAGAGCAAGACTCTGTCTCAAAGAAAAAAAAAAAAAAGCAAAACATATGATTGTCTCAGTAGATGCAGAAAAAGCATTTGATAAAATCCAACATCCCTTTTTTGATAAAAACTCTCGACAAACTAGGCATCAAAGGAACATACCTTAAAAAAATAAAAAAAGAGCCATATTGAATAGGTGGAAACTAAAAGCATTCCCCTTAAGAATTAGAATACGACAAGAATGCCCACTCACATCACTCTTATGCAACACAGTACGGGAAGTCCTAGGCGGAACAACCAGATAAAAGAAAGAAATAAAGAACACTCAAATAGGAAAAGAGGAAGTTAAATTATGCCTCTTCGCTGATGGTATGACTCTGTACCTATTATTAAAATAAAATAAAAATAAAAATAAACATAGCCAAGAGACTCCTAAATCTGGTGAACAACTTCAGCAAAGTTTCAGGACACAAAATCAATGTAAAAGTAGCATTTCTATACACAAATAACATTCATGCTGAGAGCCAAATAAAGAATACAGATTCATTTATTATAGCCACAAAAAATAAAATAGTTATTGGATGTAGAGATATATTTGTAAATAAACTTAAAATCATTAATGAATGAATAAATCTGTAAATTTTGTTTTAGGTTTGTGTTGGTGTGATGTTAGTGGGCCCAACAGGTGGAGGAAAGACAACAGTCAGAAAAATTTTGGAAAAAGCATTAACACTATTACCAATTGCAGACTTCTTATCAGTTACAGAAAGAAAATCTGCTTCAAAGGTAAATATTCTGTTAAATAAAATGTTTCTGTATTTGTTCATATCTTATTTTACCTTTAATATTTTATGTTCTCTTTATATTGGTATTTTCATTACTTATTAAACTTATTGCTAGGAATTTTGTAGTTAAGAATCATAGTGAGTGGGGTTTTTAACTTAAATCTCAAACTGATCATTACTAGTTTAAATGAACTATTGTATATTTATTTTGTATCTAGGCACCTTAATAAATGAACTTTTAATTTCTTATTGTGTTTAGGTATCAATTGAATTATCTCCAAATGAAAATAATTTTGTCTCTTCTTGAATATTTATATAACTTCTATTCTCATCTTAATGAATGAACTTTCCAAGACAATGTTAACTATAATATTTGTTCCTTACTTTATCTGGAATGTATTTAATATTTATGCATTTAATATGATATTTGACCTTGGTTGCTGATAAATATTCCTTTTCACACTTGGGAACTTTCTTTTCCCATTACACTTTGGTTTATTTGGCTGTTACAATTTATTAAATTATTTTCAGCATCTATTTCTTAAATCTTTTAACTGATTAATGTAATAAACTATGTTGATTTATTAATGTTAACTTGTCTTTGAATTCCTTACATAGTGCCTACTTAGTCATGATATATTTTTATTCAATATAAAGTCAGACTCCACTAAATAGTATGTACTTCAATTACTTAGTTAGTGATTTATTGTTGGTAACATATTCCAAAAATTTAGAAATTCAGATTATTGGTTATGTGGATTTTTTTTCAGTTAGTGGGAAATACCCTGCTTCAAGATGATACACGTAGTAGTTCATACTCTTTTCTCTTTTCCCTTCATGCAAATTTTCCTTCCTGAAAGATCTCAATTAGTTCTTACACAGTTATAACTAATAAGAGGCGAATTATCACAGCAATAATAATAATAACTAATACGTATGGACTACCTAAAAAGGTCCAAGCAGAGTGCTAAAACACCTTTGTTTGAATTATCTTTAATTCTCACAACAACAGTGAAGGCAGTAATTCACTTTATTTAAAACAGTTTTTTAATTCCAAAAATAGTATGTATTATTGTGAGAAATTTGGAATATAAAATGTGAAGGAATAATCACCTAGAATAATAATGCAGTAAAATGTGAAAACGGTAACATGTGAAAACATATTACTGTATTAGCTTTGATTATTTATTCTACACTAAATGTATTTTGAAATAACTGAGATAGTACCATGTATAATAAATCTTAGTTTTTCCAACCTTAGAATTTTCACCTAATGTTATATGCTGAGAATTAACCTCATGACATTAAACATTTCTGACAAGTATCCCAATTACTATATTCTGTATATATGACTATACTATAATTTATTTAATGATTCTCACATGTTTAATAGTTTTAAATTTTTGTTTTTTAAAGATATAATTGTAATAAACATACTTAAGAATGGTGGTAGGACCTGAGGTAATGGAATTATTTTGGTCATCCTTAGTTTATGACTTTCTTCTTATTGGTCTGTTCAAGACCTTCTCTTTATTTTAGTGTAGGTTTGTTTAATTTATTTACTTTATTTCCTTATCTTTCTTTTTCCTCCTTATCAGAGGAACCCTCCTTGCTATATGCCTTTAGATATGTGTGTGTCCTTAAAAATTTGATACCCAGTAATGTAATTGCTGGTTGGCAGGGTATAACTTCACCATGTACTGCCAGGTAAAATTCACACACATTAGATAAACCATTTTAAAGTGTACATTTTGGTGACATTTAATGCATTCACAGTGCTATGCAATTACTACCTCTCTCTAATTTCCAAATATTTTTATCACCCCAGGAAAACACCCCTTTCTCATTAAGAAATCACCCCCTATTCTCCTATCTTCCCATTCCCTGGAAGCCACTAATTGGTTTTCTGTTTCTATAGGTTTGCCTATTTTGGCAGAGATGTATGTACAGATATATATATCTAGGTTGTTTCTGCCTTTTGGTTGTAATGAATATTACTGTTGTAAACATTTGTGTACAAGTTGAGTAGACGTATGCTTTCATTTCCTTTGGATGTATACCTTGGAGTAGAATTGTTGGGTCATATGGTAATTCTGTGTTTAGCTTTTTGAGGAACCACCAAAGTGTTTTCCACGGTAACTACATCATTTTAAATTGCCATTAGCAATGTGTGAGGCTTTTTATTTCTCCATATCCTCACCAACATTTATTATTTCCCATGTTATTTTCCATTCTAGTGGATGTGAAGCACTATCTCATTGTAGTTTTGGTGTTGAATACCTTTTCATATGCTTATTGGCCATTTGTATATCTTCTCTGGAGACATGTCTGTTCATGTCTTTGTCCATTTTTAGATTATATTGTTGTCTTTTTGTTGTTCAGTTGTGAGAGTTCTTTATATGTTCTGGACACAAAACTCTTATCAGATTGTGATCTGCAAATATTTTTTTCCTGTTTTGTGAGATGTCTTTTCCCTTTCTTGATGTGAAGTGTAGGGGTCCAACTTCATTCTTTTACGTAGGGATATCCAGCTCTTCCTGTACCATTTGTTAAAGTCTATTATTTTCCCCCACTAAATGGTCTTGGCATTTTTTTTTTGAAAATCAGTTGGCCATAGATGTTTGGGTTTGTTTCTGGTCTCACAGTTCTATTACATTTTTCTGTATGTCTTTCCTTATACCTGAATATATATGTTGTGATTGCTATATGGTTTTATATAGTAGTCTCCCTGTATCCATGGTTTTACTTTGCACAGTTTCAGTTACTCATGGTCAACTGTGGTCCAAAAGCATTAAATGGAAAATTTCAGAAATAAACAATTAATAAGCTTTAAACACTACATTACAATGCCCACATCATTCACCTTAGTTCATCTCTTTATATTGGCATTTTATCATATCATTATCACAGGAAGAGTGAGTACAGTACAATAAGACATTTTGAGGGAAACAAAGATGACATTCATATCAGTTTTAAGTTATTACATCATATTGTTTTAATTGTTCTATTAATTATTGTTAACATCTTACTGTGCCTAATTTATAAAACTTTATCACAAGTATGTATCTATAGGGAAAAACATAATATATAAATAGTTCTGTAATATCTGTGGTTTCAGGCATCCACTAGGTGCCTTGGAATGTATCCCCTGTGGATAAAGAGGGATTACTGTAGTAAGTTTTGAAACTGAGAAGTGCAAGTTCTCCAACTTTGTTTTTTGTTTTTTGGCTATTTGGTTATTTGGGGCTCTGTGCAATTCCATATGAATTTAAGGATTGGCTTTTCCATTTCTGCAGAAAAGGCCGTTGGAATTTTGATATGAATTGCGTTGATCCTGCAGATCATTTTGGTGAACACTACCATCTTAACAATAAAGTTTTCCAATTGATGAACACAGATGTCTTTCCATTTTTGTATCTTTGATTTCTTCTGCAAAGTTTTCTAGTTTTCAGTGTACAAATCTTTCTCCTATCATTAAGTTTATTCCTAGGCATTTTATTCTTTGGAATCCTTGTCTTATTCCTGATTTCAGTCTTTCACCAATTGAGTACAGTGCTAACTGTTGAGTTTCATAAATACCCCTTATCATGTTAAGGAAGTTTACTTCTCTTCCCAGTTTTCTGAGTGTTTTTTTACCATGAAAAGGTGTGAAATTTTGTCAAATGCATTTTCTTTGCCTTTTGATGTGATCGTGTGGTTTCTTTCCTTCGTTTTACTATGATAGTGGGTTACATTGATTGATTTTCTTATGTTGAACTACCCTTGCATTCCTGGGATGAATCCCACTTGGTCAAGGTGCATAATCCTTTAAATGTGCTGTTGGATTCAGTTTGCTAGCATCTTTTTGAGGATTTTTGCATATATATTCTTAAGGGCTATTGGTCTGTAGTTTCCTTTTCTTGTGCCGTCTTTGGATATGGTATCATAGTAATGCTGACCTCATAGAATGTATTAGTGTTTCCTAGTTTTCTTTTCTTTTTGCAAGAGTTTGAGTAGGATTGGTGTTAATTCTTCTTTAAGTGTTTGGTGGAATTTACCTACCATTTGTAGTTGGACTGTTCTTTATTGGAAGCTTTTGATTATTGAATCAAACTATTTGTTATGGATCTTTTGAGATTTTCTATTTCTTCAGTCAGTTTTGGTAATTTGTGTGTTTTTAGGAATTTGTCCATTTCATCTTGCTTGAAAAAACTTTGTTGTACTTTCGAACTGTGTATTTGAACTATTGTCTTTGGGTCTAAAGTCAGTCTCTTGTATGCAACATACATTTGGATCATGTTTTTGTTTCTTCATTATGCCAATTTCTTCTTTTAAGTGGCAAACTTAATCTATCATTATGCCAATTTCTTTTTTTAATTGGCAAACTTAATCTATTTTATTTTGATTATTGATGATGGACTTTTGCCTTTTTGTGATTTTGTTCTATGTCTTGTATCTTTTTTGTTTCTCAATTCCTCCAAAATTGCCTTTTGTGTTTGATTTTTTTCTAATGTAACATTTGGATTCCTTCTTCATTTCCTTTTCATTTTTTACTCATTTTTAAATAGTTACCTGGGAGATTGCAGTTAACGTCTGTTAGGGTCTGAATTGTGTCCCCCTACCCAAAATTCATGTGTTAAATCTCCAACCCACAGTACCTCAGTTTGTGTCTCCCTTATTCATGGGGAATACATTTCATGACCCCCAGTGGATGCCTGGGACCACAGATAGTACTGAACCCTATATATACTTTGTTTTTTCCCATAAATATCTATGATGAAGTTTAATTTATAAATTTGACACAGTAAAAGATGAACAATGAATACTAATAATAGAAGAATTTTTAAAAATATGATATAATAAAAATTATGTGAATGTGGTCTCTATCTCTCAAAATATCTTGTTGTACTGTACTCACCCTTCTTGTGTTCTGTCAATCTGATAACTGAGTTGTTACTGAGTGACTAATTAGCAGGTAGATTTAAGTCCCAGGTGGGACAGAGCAAGATGATGCAAGATTTCATGAAACTACTCAAAATAGCATGAAATTTAAAACTTACAAATTGTTTATTTCTAGAATTTTGCATTTAATATTTTTGGACTGCAGTTAACCACAGGTAAATGCAACTGCAGAATGTGAAACTATAGAAAAGGGAGGATTACAGTATATTTGGAGATACAATCTTTAAAGAGGTGATTAAGTTAAAATGAGGCTATTACAGCAGGCCCTAATCCAATTTGACTTGTGTACTTATAAGAAAAGGAAATTTACAAACACAAAGAGACATCAGAGGTGTGTGTATGCACAGAGAAAAGACCACATGAAGACACAGTGAGAAGGCAGTTATCGGCAAGTCAAGGAGTGAGGCCTCTGAAGAAATCAAACCTGCTATCAACTTGATCTTAGACTTTTACCCTTCAGAATTGTGAGAAAATAAATTTGTTGTTTAAGTTACCCAGGCTGTGGTATTTTGTTGTGGCAGCCCTAGCAAACACTTAACTACCAATCTGGTAGAACTGATACCAACTTAACTTCAATAGCAGACATTAATTCTGCTCCTTCCCAGCTCTGTTCCCTGCTTTATGTTGTTACAAACTGTATCTTTATATATTGTGTACCCATTAATATAGATTCATCATTATTGTTTATACATTTTTTAATTATATAGGAAAAAAGAGGAGTTACAAATTAAAAATTAAATAATAGTGGCTTTTATATTTACCTTAACTGTAGATCTTTATTTCTTCCTGTGAGTCTGAGTTTTTGTTTATTGTTTTTTTCATTTGAGCCTGAAGCATTTATCCCTTTATCCATTCCTTCAGCATTTTCAGTAGGGCAGGTTTCCCAGGGATGATTTGTTTAGCTTCTGTTTATCTGAGAATGCCTTAGTTTGTCCCTCACTTTCATAGGATGGTTTAGCTGCATACAGAATTTTTGGTTGACAGTTTTGGTTTTTGGTTTGTTTGTTTTAGCACTTTGTATCATCCCATGCCTTTTGGCCTTTGTACTTTCTGATGAGAATTGACTTTTAATTTTGCTGAGGATCCCTTGTATTGCCTCTCTCCTGCTACTTTAAAGATTTTGCCTTTGGACATTAATAGTTTGATTATAATGTGTGGATATCTTTGTGTTTATTTTTCTTGGTGTTTCATGAGTTCTTGGATTTGTATTTTATATCTTTCATTAATTGAAAAATTTTGGGCCAGTATTTCTACCAACATTTTTTCTACTTTTTCTCTCTTTTCTTCTTCTGGAATTCCCATAATGTATAGATTGATATGTTTTATGGTTTTCCATAGGTCTCTTGGACTCTATTTTATTTATTTTTCTTCTCTTGAAATGGGTAATTTCAGCTTCCTTATCTTCAGGTTTGCTCATTCTTTTTTCTATCTGCTCAAATCTGCTATTGAATGCCACTGTTGATTTTTTATTTCAACTATTTTATTTTTCAGCTCTATAAACTCTATTTGGTTCCCTTTTATTATTTCTATCTCCTTAATGGTAGTTCCTACTTGTTCTTACACTGCTTTCCAGTTTCCTCATACTTGCTCTGTGCTGGGGTAGTTTTTGACTGATTAGCTGTGCCTGCTCTGAGCCTAGTGATCAAGCTAAGATGAAAGTTTCAATTCATCTCAGGTCTTTCTGCATACATCTTGATGCATATGGCTTTCAGAATTCCCCTATATGAATATCTAAATTTCCCAAAGATTTTACCCAGGCTTCTCCCTGAGGCCTTATATGGTCTGTCATATGTTTCTAGCTGTCATCTCTTGCCCTAGGCTTCCACAGGTGTGTAATCTCTCTGAAGAAGTGCCTGCCAATTTTTCTGCCTGACATCTGAGATACATAAAACGAGACCAGATATTCTGGCAAGACAGGTTAAAATATTGCAAATAAGGTTTATTTCAGGGCCAATTCTGACCTTAAGCTTAAAAGTGTTTTCTACTGTCTTTCACTTCTATACTCAACCCAGTCCCCAGACATGTTACATGCCAGTTTATATACTGTGTTCCTGGATTAGACACAGATTTTTTTCCATTTTTTCTGGGGGTACTGTTTGTAGTATTACAGTTTTTTTAAAAGAATGATTTGTATATTATGGCTAATTTTAACAAGTCAATAGTTACTGTTCCTTGCAAATTGCTACCTTTATATAAAGTCTTTTTTTTTTTTTTTTTTTTGGTGTGAAGGATTTCTCCTGTAACCTTTTAATTCTTATTAGAATGCAAATAAACTAAATAATTGTTCTATAGTTAGTGTCTTTAAAAACTACACTGGATTTTTCTCAGATTTCAGGAAGAAAAGGAAAAGTAGACATTTGTGTTTTAAATCCAAAGTGTATCACTCTCAGTGAACTATATGGACAACTGGATCCTAATACTATGGAATGGACTGATGGATTATTATCAGCAACAATTCGAAGTTATGTGTATTTTAACACACCAAAGAACTCAAAGAAAGACATTGATCTCAGACTAAAGTCAAGAATCTCAGATTTATCCAATGTAAGTTTAGTGTTGAATTAATATTTTTATTTAACTAATGTGGATTATTTAATTGCTTATCCAAAGACTGATGTTAAAACGTTAGATATCTAGTAGTGTAAAAGTAAATTTTAAAATGTTATGAATAGTTTTTATAAAGAGAAAAATTGTAAGTTATTAAAAAATGGAAAATCTCCCATTGAATTTTAAAATGGTCAGTAAATGAAAGAATGAAGTTAAAGAAATTTGCTTTTAAAGGAGCACAAAGTGAATTAAGTTTGAGTGGAACATGATCTAGTGATTCCAGCACCTCCAAAATACCTTACAAACTAACGAGACTAAAAAACCCTTTGTTAGAAAAGCGAATGAAGTATTTGATAGAAAATTTATCACAGAATAAATACAAATGGCAAAAAGGAAAATTTTTATTCTCATTAGCATTAACTAGAGATTACTGGTCAATTTCATTAGATAAAACACATTAACAAAGAGATGATGTTTAAAACCAAACAGAGAAGCCAGGTGTGGTGGCATAAACTGTAATCCCAGTTCCTCTGGAGGCTGAGGCAGTAGGGTCACTTAAGCCTGGCAGTTCAAGACCAGCCTGGTCGATATCACAAGACTCCATCTCAAAGAATAAGAATAAATATTAAAACTAAATAGATTAATAAAGATTTTTAAAATGGGAAAACAATATTTCACATTTACTAGATTGTGAAGTAGAAATTGATATGTGTCTGGAGATAATATTGGAAATATGTATTGAGATTTAAAAACAGACATTCCTTAATATGAAGGAAATAAAATTGTATTGGGTGCTATTTTTATATTGGTATGAGAATCCTTTCTACATTAAAAAGTAATCATTTATCTGTCATATGTGCTACACATATTTTCTGCAATCTATGAAAATGTTTATCAGTATATTCTTTGATAGATTATAACTTTTCAATCACACCCTGAAAAGGTTTTCTTAGTCTAAGATTATTATGGTAAATTGATAGTTGCATAATAACAAACATATAGTAAACCTATTTAAACCTTTGATCTGTGTGTAATTTATTTTAGTGTAAGTGATTTTTTCCCAAATGGAAAATTTTTCTGACACAATTGAGTAACTCATCTTTTTCCCACTAACATAAAATGATACTAGATACTTATATTTGGGTCTGTTTCTGCATTCTTTACTCTACCTGCCTGTGGCCAGCAAAAAAAAAAACAATTTTAATTATACTGACTTTATTATAGGTTTTACTATCTAGAATAATAGTCTGTCTTTATCAGTCTTCTTTTTCAAGATTTATTTCATAGTTGTTCTGCAACTTATGTTTGTTTCCCCTTTGCAAGAAATGCTTGAGTTTTTTTTAAGTTCTCAGGTAGTGGAATCTTTATGTTGTTGCTGATTTTATTATTTTATTGTCTTTTATTGCATTGTAATTAGAGAATATTGTCTCTGATGTTTGTCTTATTTTTAGGATAGTTTAGCATTTGCTTAATAATATGAAATAATATTTGCATTTTTATAGGCAGGTTTATTCCATTTACATTATTGGTTGTAACATATGTTTGGGCTTATTGTTGTCATTTGTTTTATATTATGATTCTTTTTAATTATCCAGTGTGTATTTTCTTTGCTTTGATTTCTTTATTCCCTCTGATAATTTGGAAGATCCATAGTCTATTTTATTCTCCTTGGTGTTACTTTTATAGCTATGGTTTTATATAATACCAGTAATTTTCCATTTAGATGGTATCTATGACACTTTTATCATGTCTGTAATCATGAAATTAGTATACTTTTCCTTGTTCCCACTTCCTTTTTGATTTTTCTACCACCTGATTTGGGCAAATTATATTGTTATTACTTTATTCTTACTTTTGCTCATTGTTTTAACTATAAATTGGCTTATGATTATATTATTTCACTTTTCAGTTTTAAATAATTACTTGGAATCACGAGCACCCTGCTTTTAGATGAAAATATTGACATAAGCAAATGACTTCTCACCTTTTTTTCACATCTGACTTTTACTAGTTACACTTTTGTATCATTGTGACAGATTATATCTGCATTCTTCACAATAGCCATGTTTTTGGAAATAAAGACTCATTAATATAGAAATGATAATTCTTCATGTATTGAGCTGTAAATGCAATGCAGTTTTAATCAAAATTTTCAGATTTTGTCAAAACAGCCTTGTTAAGATACAATTCACATGTTACAAAATTCACACATTCAAAATATACAATTCAACAGATTTTTAGTATATTCCCAGAGCTGAACAACCATCACCATGACCTAATTTTAGAGCATTCTCATTAACACAAAAGTAAACATTCTAATCACTGACATTCACTGCCCATTCCCAAATCACCATCTTCTCCCGCCTCCCCAACACCAGCCTTAGGAAACCATTAATCTACTTTCTATCTGTATAGATTTTTTATTCTGGACATTTCATATAAATTAAGTTATATAATATGTAGTCTTTGCGATTAGCTTCTTTGACATAGCATAGTGTTTTCAGGGTGGGCCTATGGTACATCATATAACAGTGCTTCATTCCTTTTTATTGCCGAATAATATTCCATTGTGCTGATACAACTAACATTTTGTTTATCCTTCAGTTGATGGACACATGGGTGGTTTCTATTTTTTGCCATTATAAATAGTGTTGTTATGATCATTTGCATACCAGTTCTTGTGAATGTAGGCTTTCATTTCTTATATATATACAGATTAGAGTACAATTACTGGGTCACATGGTCACTTTATGCTTAACATTTTGAGGAATTGTCAAACTATTTTTTATAGAGGCTGCATTCTCCCATTTCTCTACAGCCTCAAAACAATTGTGACTGTCTATTTTTAAATTATAGCCAGTTAGTGGTTGTGCAGTGGTAAGTCATATCCTTTAGTGTGTGTTTGATTTGCATTTTCCTGATGGCTAATGATGTTGAGTGTATTTTTATGTTGCTGTTGGCCATTTGTATATTTCCTTTGGAGAATGTCTGTTCAGAGCCTTGCCTATTTTCAATTGCTTACTTACCCTTTAATTATTGAGTTTTAAGAGTTATTTTTCAATACACATCCCTATTCAGATATATGATTTGCAAATATTTTCTCTCATTCTGTAGGTCATCATTACTTTCTTTGATGGAATTTTTTACAGGACAAAAGTCTTTAACTTTTTTCTTTTTTTATCATTTGTCTTAATATCATATCATTAAAAAGCTTGCATAACTGACAGTCACAAAAATGTATTTCTATGTCTTATTTTAGGAGTTTTATTGTTTCAACTAATATATAGGTCTTTGGTCCATTTTGAGTCAATTTTTCTGTGGGGTGTAAATCAGGGACCCCCTCATTCTTTTGTATGTGGATATCCAGGTGTTCCAGCAATATTTGTTGAAAAGACTGCTCTTTCCCTCCATCAAATTATCTTGACACCCTTGTAAAAAAAATCAGTTGATCATAAATGTAAGGATTTATTTCTGGATTTTCTGTTCTGTACCATTGATCTATGTCTGTGTTTCTGTAAATACTACGCTTGATTGCTATAGCTTTGTGGTAAGTTTTGAAATAGGGAAGTGAGATGATTTTTTTTAAGACCTTGACAAACTGTTTCCAAAATTTATGTGGAACATACATGGTCCATGACACTCCTGAATAAGAGAAAGGATTAGGGTGCTAAGACATACCACATATCAAAAAGTATTATAAAATTAGAATAAAGCAATGTGATATTGTTGCAGAAAAAGATGGCAATTATAAAATAATATGTGCCTATGACATAATGTGAAAATATGCAGAGAAAAAGTTGACAGAATTTAATGGAGAAATTGACAACTGTGCAATCATAGATTTTATTACATCTTTCTCAGCAACTGAGAAGCAATATGGCACAGTGGCTGTGATAAAATTCTTCGTACTAATAATTTTGAGTTAGAAATTGAAATAGAAAAATTTATACTAGAAGTGGTACAAATCTATAAAATACAGTTCGATAAATGTAGAAGAAAGGAGCTTGTCCTATGGAGAGTGGGGCAGGGAAACCTATATAATTGAGAAAACTTGAATAAATGAAAGATGCACCACATTCCCATTTGGAAGACTTCCATCATAAAAATACCAATCCCTACCAAATTAATGTATACAATAATACCTTTCTAACCAAAATCCCAGTGTTTTTTTTTTAAAAAAACTGACAAATAAGGGAGGCAGAGCAGCATGGCCAAATAGAAGCCTCCGTAGATCATCCCCACTTGCCCACAGGAACACAAAATTTAAGAAATATCTACACAAAAATTCACCTTCATAAGAACCAAAAATGAGGTATGTGATTGTAGTACCTGGCTTTAATTTCGTATCACTGAAAAAGGCACTGAAGAGGGTAAGAGAGACAGTCTTGAATTGCCAGTGTCATTGGTCTGCCATCCCCTGGCAGCAGCCGTGTGGTATGGAGAAAAAAATCTGTGCACTTGGGAGAGGGAGAGCATAGTGACTATGGGATTTTGCATTGGAACTCAGTGCTGCCAGCACCTGACAGAATTCAGCCAATGCCCATGAAAGGAGTACTGAGACTTGCCCTAGCCAGAGGGGAATAGGTCAGGACTTGAATTTCAGCAAGCCTTGTCACTGTAGGCTAAAGGACTCTGATGTCCTAAATTAACTCGACAGGCAGTGTAGGCCATAAAGGACTGCAACTCCTAGGCAAGACCTAGTGCTATGATGGGCTTAGAGCCAGTGGACTTGGGGGGCATGAAACCTAGTTAGACACCAACTGGGGTGGCAAAGGGAGTGCCTGCACCACACCTTCCCCAACCCCAGGCTGTGCAGCTCACAGCTCCAAATGTGATTCCTTCATCGCACTTGAGAAGAGTGGGAAGAGTAAGGAGAACTTGGTCTTGCAACTTGAATACCAGCTCAGTCACAGTAGGATAGGGCACCAGGCAGAGTTGTGAGGCCCTAACTCCTGGATGACATATGTAGGCACACCCTGGGACAGAAGAGAACCCAC